ACATGCATGGCAACTGGATCAGTTTGTATGCGGGTGGTTGTTAGTGTGGCCTGTTTTATCCTCTGTAGGCTTTTAAAGAGAATTGTCTACCCCCCACCCTCATTATAAGATGAAAGGAACGTTTAATTAAAAACTGATGAAATACCTTGTAAATCATTAGGCACTGAGTCATGGGACTGCCCTTTTTTCTCCCCTCTGATCTCCACCCTCTGTCTGTCTCCCTTTTTCAGGAACAATACTGGCGTTCTGTTGTATTTCACAACCACTTGGATTACTTATCAAAAAATGGCTATGAAGTTGATGAAAATACTAAAAGTCTAGCAGTGAAAGAACAGCAAGAGCTTTTAATGAAACTGTTTGCCGTAAGTAGAAACAAATAAAAAAATAGAAGGAATCCTGAGACTTTATTTTGAGTCGATGGCATTTGATGTAAATTTTGGTGTGATTCCTCTTATTGGGAGTCTGGCTAGTGACTGGCAATACAGCCAGGTCACAGACTAAGAGTCTGTGAGTGCAGTTAATATTGTTATTGCTTATCAGTACGAAGGGTGGCAGGAAGAAGGAATGAATGAGCTTTTTCTTTGCTGTGCAGCTCATGATCGTTGGTGGTTTGTCTTTATTCATTCACTCCACCAAGACCATAATCTTCGGGTCCTAGCGCCCCGAGAGACCTGTGTAACTGCGAAGTGAGTAACTCAAGGCTGCTTTTCTTTCAGCTTTCTTGTAAACTCGAGCGTGAATTTCGTTGCACGGAACTTGCTGACCTCATGACACAAAACGTTGTGAATTTAGCTATCAAGTACGCTTCTCGCTCTCAAAGACTAAATTTAGCTCAGCGACTTAGTGAAATGGCTGTGGAGAGAGCAAGTGAGTTGGCAGCAGCACCGGAAGATGAAGAGGAGGAAGAGGATTTCCGGAAGCATTTGAATGCTGGGTAACACAAAGTTCTGTGATTAAAAACCTGGAAACATTTTACTGCTCTATTAACAAGTCCAGTTGATGCATTCTTGCAAACCACGGTCCTAAATAGCAATGTGTGCGTTGTGAGGTAACAGCTCTTGCTGTTTAGGACCGTGGTTTGCAATGTGTGCGTTGTGAGGTAACAGTTGGTGCTGCTCTGCTTGTAAGTTGTACGTCTAAGATGGCACGTTCTTTTTGACATCGTGAGGACTCGTCAGTCCCAGGCCACTGACGCAGAGGGAAGTGTCTCCTCTCCTTGCTTACTGTTTGTCTGTGTGCAACAGCTTCACAGGCAGAGCAGACTCAACACCATGTTGCGCTGATTTGAATTTTTTTCCTATTTTTTTTCTCCACAGTCTTTCTGGCTCCCTCCATTCCACACCTACCTTAAAATCCTTCTATCTTTCTCCAGCCCTCTCCTCTTTCACTATCCCATCCCAGTGTATCCTGTTTACTCTTATCCCCTCCTAACTAATCCCAGCTCTTCACAACTATGGAACTATTACAGGGTTGCTATGTGCTTCTTCGCTCCCTGTGCTATCTATCTTTTCACTCCTACCTGACTCTGCTTTGTGAAGCACGATGAGACAAAAGATGTGTTATTTTTGAAAAACTATAGGCCGTACAGAAAAGCTGTGATCTCGCGTGGCCTCTGGATGGTACAGCTGTAAGGAAAGTAGCTGCTAACCACCAGTCTGATAGTGCAGAAAAATGTCGTAACATTTTGTCAGAAACGATGTGTTCCTATGTAGCAATTTTATGTATGAAGGATGGAACTTATTTAAGCAAGAGGAAGTGATAAGTCCCTGGACTTATCTGTAGCCTTTCCCTTGTTCTTCTGTGTGAAACTCCTTTTTAAATGCTCTGCCCTGTTCTTCTGAGTCACACACGGAAGCTGTAATCCCATGGAGAGGTGGACCACTGCCAACCT